CCGGCCACCGAGGGGCTGCCAGAGACACGGCGCACGGTGCGGCCCCCTGAGCTGCTGCGAGACACAGCCATCCGGGGCCAGGGTGCCCGTGAGCCCCCTGGCACCCACCCACGCCGGACCTTCGCCCACTCGCCCAAGACGGCGCTGCTGCTGGCGCTGAGTCGGCCCCGGCAGCCCATCACGCGCTCCCAGAGTGACCTCACCGTCGCTGGTAAGCACCAGGGCACGGCCCCATGTGCGGGACTCACCCCTGGCTGGGGTCCCCCTCCATCCCTGCACCCCCAGCCCTGGGAGTTCCACAGGTCAGTCCCTGCCCCACCTGGAGCCTGTCCCCGACTCGAGTGTCCTATAGCCCCTGACCCACATGGATACATGGCCCCGGCTCCTGGGCATCCTGTAGCCAAGTCCTTGGCCCCTGCCCTGCACCCTATAGTCCCCAGCCCATACGGACAGACCCCTGGCCACCAGCCCTGGGCATCCTATAGGTGTGTGTAGCCCCAGCCTTGTCCCTAGGGCTTGCCAGACACCCCAAACCCCAGCCCCATGGCCCCTGGAGACCCCCTGTACCCCACAGAAGGACTCTCTTCCAGTCAGTGGCCCCAGTAGCCCCTACAACCCCACCAAGTTCCCTGCCCCCAAACACCATTTGAGGTGGCATACCCTCCACTGGCTCTCCACTCCAACTCCCACTCTCTGTCCCCAGAGGAGAAGCGGAAGAAGGAGAAGCCAGAGGGACAAGGGGCACGGGGGGCCCCCCCAGGGCTGCACCGCTCAAAGACCCTTGTCAACCTCTTCTTCAAGGGGGGCCGTGCCACCAGCCAGAGCTGGGCACCCCCCAGCCAGGAGCCCCCCACCGCCGACCGCCGGGCACGCTCCAAGTCCCCAGGGCGCCTCGATGGGGACAGAGGTACCAGGCTGGGGGACACAGCGGAGAGGGACCCAACCTGGGACTGGTGCCCCCTTCTGTGGGCACTGTAGCCCCATTGTGGCATCCCTGGCACAGAGGGTGGCATGGGGAAGGGAAGGGGTCCCCAAGCATGCAATTTGGGCAATGGGCAGTGATGCTGCTGGCCCCTGCCAGGGGCACTCACCCCTCTTCATCTCCCTTGCAGTAGGCGCTGTGCAGAAGTTTGTCAGCCGAAGCCTGAAGCGGGGTAACGGGGGTGCCCGTGTGCCGGGGGGGAGGCTGCAGGGCAGGCTCGGCATGTACCTGGCCCTGCACTGCATGTGTCTGTCCACCTCTGGAATGGAGTGAGCTGTTGGGGTGGGGATGTGGGGCATGTGGGGGTTTGTGGGGTGCCTGGGGCTGTCCCTTGCCCTATTAGCCACCCCTCCTTGCTGTGCCCCCCCAGAGAAAAGCCAGCGTGCCAGCATCCTGGGCCCCACGGGCATCGCCGCCCTGCAGCCCAACGGCAGCGATCCCGAGGCCCGGCTCCCGCACATCCAGGACACCGCTGCACGTCTCCTCAGCCCCGACGAGGTGACAGCCGTGCTCCGACACTGCTCCAGGGTACGGTGCCATGGGCAGGGTGCGGGCAGGGTGCAGGCAGGG